TGCACATGTGTAGGATGTCGTGGTTATTTCTTTTTTACATAATTTCCTTGTTTCCTTGTATTCTCTCATTCCTTTTATTTCGTTTCTCTATCTTTTGGCTCTAGGTCTCAAAAGATCATTTTTAAGGGCAATAGATAGATAGATAGATAGATAGATAGATAGATAGATAGATAGATAGATAGGGGGATAAATTGTGAAAAAGGTAAAAGAATTTCAACATATGTAAGCAGGAATGCATCAATATTTAACTGAGTCTTGTGATTTAAACAAATTAATCTTACTGACAATCGTTCAATTTCCGCAAGAGAGGCAACTGTTATATTATTTCACAGTCTTTATTACACCATTAACACACAAATTTCCAGATTTTGAAAGAGGGATGACTTGTTGATCAAAATGAAGATAAAGCCAACGTCTAAAACACTGAAAAAAGGGCATTCCACTTCCATGTATAACTTTCGTAATCGATTAATTCACCAATAAAATAATAGAAGCTATCGAATTCAGGTATATCTAGATCACCCGCATCTCGTTCAGGTATAGCTCTACTATCATCATCTCGTTCAGGTATAGCTAGACCATAATCATCTTGTTCAGGGATAGCGATACCATCAGCATCTCGTTCGGGTATAGCTATACTATCATTATCTAGTTCAGATATAGATATACCATCATCATCTCGTTCAGGTATAGATAGATCATACAGGTATATCTATACCATCATCTCGTCCAGGTATATCTATACCATCATCATCTCGTTCAGGTATAGCTAGACCATCAGCATCTCGTTAAGGTATAGCTATACCTTCGTCATCTCGTTCAGGTATAGCTATACTATCATCATCTCATTCAGGCATAGTTATATGATCAGCATCTCGTGAAGGTATATCTATACCATCAGCATCTCCTTCAGGTATAGCTATATCATCGTCGTCTCGTTCAAGTATAGCTAGACCATCAGCATCTCATTCATATATAGCTACACCATCAGCATCTTACGAAGGGAAAGGTAAACCATGAGAATCTTGTTCAGGTATAGCTAGACCACCAGCAACTCGTTCAGGAATCGGTAGATTCTCAGAATCTAGTTAAGGTATAGCTTTACCATCAGCATTTTTGTCAGATATGCCTAGACCATCACTATCTCGTTCAGGTATAGCTGCACCATCAGCATCCCATGAAGGTATAGCTAGATCATCCGCATCTCGTTCAGGTATAGCTATATCTTCATCTCATTCAGGTATAGCTATACCATCAGCATCTCGTTCAAGTATAGCTAGGCCATCCCCATCTCGTTCAGGTATAACTAGACAATCAGCATCTCGTTCAGGTATAACTAGACAATCAGCATCTCGTTCAGGTATAGCTACACCATCAGTATCCCATGAAGGTATAGCTAGACCATCAGCAACTCGTTCAGGTGTAGCTATACCATCAGCATTTCGTTCATGTATAGATGCACCACCAGCATCTCATTATAGCTAGAACATCAGCATCTCGCTCAGGTATAGCTAGAACATTCCTCCATTTAACGGAGAAACATGGCATGTGTAAGAGGCTTTGTAATCAAGCTATGTCTGGCTTCCATAGTTTTTTTTTCCTATTAATTTCTATTAAAAACAGCCAGAAGAAAGCCACTTTTCAAACCAACGCGCAACAAATAATAGTGGCAATTTGTAAGGAAGGATTGACCATTGAAGATTTTGTCAGTTAACAAATAAAACAATCCACTAGTGGTCAGCTTAGCTGTAAATTTCCATTTGAACCTCTTGCATCCACCTATCAAACAAGGCAGTCTTGTTAGTTAAGGTGCAGAATGTAAATTAATGTTTCTAGATATTTTTTTATGGAATATTATTTCAGAAATGTTTCTATGCCTTCTGGAAGAGAAAAAAATGATTTTCAATAATCACCGAGTAGAATTTAGATAAAATCCAAACTATTTATATGGAACTGAAAAATCAGCCGTCGAAGCCCTAAAGGACTGTTAAGTGTTTCCGCTATGCCTTTTCTATAAATATCTTCATGGCAATTGCTCTGATCGGATTTCCAGTTTGGTAACTCAACTTCACCCCATTTAAGCACAGTACAAGATTGGCAGCTAGGTCATATTATTTTACTATTGAAATAGCTAGATATAATCGTAAGTTCTATTCTAAATTTTCTTTCTCGCACTTCTCGCTTATGCAGTTCTCTTCCCGCTTCTTGTTTTTCTGTCAACTACAACTTTAAATTTTAAATGCAACATCAATCGCCATCTTCTGTCTCCTTGAATGCTATAGGAGTCCTGACCAATGTCCATTATCTAACAAATGCTTAACGGAATCCATTGTATATTTATGTTCTATTTCATCAATTGAAAATCCCAGTTGTATATTGGTAGCACTAAGAATAATTTTAAAAAAACGATTCTACAACAATCTCTCTTCTTTTACTAATGGTCACAAACGCAGTATGACTTCATTTTCTAAGTATTTTTGGAAATTAAAGGAAGAAAATAAGCCACCTAAAGTTCAATGGAAGATCCTCAAACAAGCCAGAAATTGTAGATCTTTATAAGAACCTCGTTTTCTACGTCTACAGGAGAGAATAATTAACATTTGACTAGCAGTCAATTGTTAAATCAGAGATTTGAAACTACCGTGAATTGTAGGCACATTAAGAATTTAACCTTACAATCTTGCTAAAGTTTTTAACTTAATATTCACTTCTCTTGTGTTATATTACTTTATATAAACATTTTAATGTCATTCTTACTGATTTATCTAAAATTAAGGTCGTAAATAGGTTTTTACTCGTATAGTACTGGTAATAATGTTTGTAGTAGATATGATTATACTTATATTACGAGTTATAATGTTTGGTAATAGTTTTAATTTATAAAATTCATATCAATATTCTAAATTTATATTCTATTTATCTTTAATTTTAAATGTAATGTTTTTTATAGTTAATTTGTTATTTTGTATGCCTAATGTTTTTACTTCTTAAAGTACCTTTTATTTAAATACTATGTTTAATTTTGTTAAATAATATGTTGGTTTTTTTTTTCAAAACGCCAAACAAACTTAACTGATATATTGTATCGAAAATATTGTCTACTCTGTTGCAATCATATGCGTTAAAATTTGAATTTGAAGGACACATGGCACAGTGGATAAAGGCGTTGGTTGAATCCAGCGACAGGACCCAAAGAGTGTGAGTTCAATATCCGGTTAAGGCAGTGGAGAACTTTCAGAGGGAAATTAGAAGGAGATAACTGATAACTGACATCCATCAAACATGGCACGTGAAACTAGAACAGTCTACACCAGTGAGCGAAATAAAGGATTCAGTTCGAAATTCCAACCACCTGAAGAAGGTCGGAGCGTACAACGGCCGAAACGTTGTGATAAATATGGCGACAAAGATGAGGACAATAGTCCGAATAATGTAAATAATGTACATAATACCTCATCTCAGAAATATAGACAGACTTTGAATCATCCTGTATGACTTTTATCTCAATGTTAACGTTGTTTTTTTTTTTCATTGCATGCTTAGTTATCAACAACTTCTATTGTGTTTCTTTCTTTTTTTTTTTTTTTTTCTTTTTCTTTTCTTTTTCTTTGCATTAGTTAATTTTGATATATTTACTCCTCTTCGTTTTTATCTGTTTTCCTTTTTTTTTTTTCCTTTTCTTCGGATAAGAGATGTTTTTTATGCTTTCCTTTGTTATCTCTTTCTTCTTTCTTTTTAGTTTTATTGATTTCTTACTCTTTCTTTTTTTTTTCTGCTTTAAACTGCAATTTTATTTTTATTTACCATTTATGGAAATTTTTATATATTTCTTTCTTTTCCTTTTATAGAACATCTAGAAAGTTTCTACACACTCTGTGTCCCAAAAAGAAAGCTCTTGTTCAAGCGCATGAAAAATTATATAAAAAGCTTAACCGTAGTACTATGTCTGGCGTTTTTAATGAAACATATATATATATATATATATATATATATATATATATATATATTAATGAATATCAAACGCTTAAAATACCATAGGTAATAATCTCTATTTCATGAAAGCTATAAAAATAGCCTTCAATCATTCCGAGATGTGTGTGTGAGTGTATATATATATATATATATATATATATATATATATATATATACTTGATGGAGTTTCAGTGTTTCCAACGGCAACACTGCGTGTAGATGTTCACTGTTTACCAAATTAAAAAAAAGAGAGCCAAATGTATCCTTCGACATTTAATAGCATTATTTTTCTTGCTTTTACTTTGTCCTTTTCAATGTTATTTCTTTATCGAATAGCCACCAGAAGCAACGTTAAATGAAATCCTGGTAATTGACTCTGCTATGTTCCAGATACATTATAGAGGTTTCTTCAGAGTCACGTGTCCTTTTAGGAAAGGTTTTCTCCGAAATGCCAGCAGATTTCTTTTTAGGTTTGATGAGACAGAGAAAGTCCATTAGCGGTTCGAGTAACGGCGATTATCTGCCAACTGCATGGAAACATAGGAAATTATATTTTGCAGGATCGTTTCTTCTTTTGGTGAATGGGGTAAAGAGGATTGGCATTATGGCGGCAGGGTTGAGCAAAAATGATAAAACTAAGGAGGCAGTGTATTGGTTTCGGTTAAGCAATGATTAATCTGATAAGATGAGGTGGCGTGGTTATTTTCATGTTGCATTTTAAAAGACATATTAGTCTTTACTCATTTTATTGCGCCTGGCAACATATCGATATTCGAAGTCTTTGTAGTCACAGCCTGAATCAAGGTTTCTCTCTCTCTCTCTCTCTCTTTCTATCTATCTATCTATCTATCTATCTATCTATCTATCTTTTATTTATGCACACATTCAAAGGCAATATTATCATCACGCTCTTTCTCTCACATATGTAAAGTATCTCACTCTTTTTCTCTATCATGCCCCTCTCACTCTCACTCTCATGCATACGAGGTTCTACAAATATTATTCTTGTATTTTTTAAATTCCTTTACTTAGATAGATAGATAGATAGATAGATAGATAGATAATGAAGATAGATGACATAGATAGATAGATAGATAGATAGATAGATAGATAGATAGATAGATAGATAGATAGATAGATAATGAAGAGACTGACATAGATAGATAGATAGATAGATAGATAGATAGATAGATAGATAGATAGATAGATAGATAGATAATGAAGAGACGGACATAGATAGATAGATAGATAGATAGATAGATAGATAGATAGATAGATAGATAGATAATGAAGAGACTGAGATAGATAGATAGATAGATAGATAGATAGATAGATAGATAGATAATGAAGAGACTGACATAGATAGATAGATAGATAGATAGATAGATAGATAGATAGATAGATAGATAGATAGGTAGATAGATAGATAGATAGATAGATAATGAAGAGACTGACATAGATAGATAGATAGATAGATAGATAGATAGATAGATAGATAGATAGATAGATAGATAGATAATGAAGAGACTGACATAGATAGATAGATAGATAGATAGATAGATAGATAGATAGATAGATAGATAGATAGATAGATCAAAATAATAGTGAGTAATTGAATGGAAAAATGGAAAAACCGCCGAACTTATGCCAGCAATGAGGAAGACACACAGCAAACGTTGATTACAACTTTATATCAAATGCGTTAAAAATACAGGAACACTTAAACTGTCTTTTTTATGTTGTAAGTCTCGTGTATCCCGATGTATAACTTGACCGATTTCATTCTTTCTTTTGCTTTAATTCCCATATTTATATATTTAATGAATTATCTTATTAAATTTTATTAATATATGTCAGGAGAATCAACGTCGTTTTCTACCTGCTTTCTCTATATATTTTCCTTCTTTTTCTCTGTCCATGTCTTTGTTTTAATTTCTAATATTTCTTTCTTCCTCTTTCTTTATGTATTTCTTACACGCACGCCAATTTGAGACCGCGCTGGATTAACCTCATCAACAGTGGTACAGATACAAGTAAACATCTGCAATCTATTCAATGGTTTCCCCCCGTCGGACAGGAATCATTGTATAGGAGAATGGCATCAGGCAATCTACCTTGATTCTCTTTAAGAGTCATTATCTTGTGTACATGTATACAACGCTTCGTGAATGTTCGTTTGACCTTAGATTACATTTACGAAAAGTCCGTTGTAACAACAGGGATTCTAATGTGAAAGCATCAGTGAAATAATTTGAGTTTTAGGGTGACGTTCATAAGTTGATCCAAAGTCTGTAATGGAAGCGATGAATTAAAGATTCATAAGAGGACAAAAAAGTATGTTATGACAAAATAAAAAAAGAATTACATTTTACAGAGTGAAGGTAAAGTAAAATAATGTCGGCGAAAGGAAGGAAGGAATTAAAGAAGGAGGGAATAAGATGTCATAAAAAAATTAAACAATTTTAGAGGAAGGAAGGAAGGAAGGAAGGAAGGAAGGAAGGAAGGAAGGAAGGAAGGAAGGAAGGAAGGAAAGTAAGTAAAATAATGGCGGCGAATGGAAGGAAGGAAGGAAGGAAGGAAAGGAAAGGAAAGGAAAGGAAAGGAAAGGAAAGGAAAGGAAAGGAAAGGAAAGGAAGGAAAGAAGGCCGGCAGGAAGGAAGGAAGGGAAGCAAGAAAGGAAGGCAGGAAGGAAGGAAAGCAGGAAGGAAGGAAGGTAGTAAGGAAGGAAGGCAGGAAGGAAGCAAGGAAGGAAGGAAGGGAAGCAAGGAAGGAAAGGAAGGCAAGAAGGAAGGAAGCAAGGACGGAAAGGAAGGAAGGTAGGAAGGTAGCAAAGAAGGAAGGAAGGAACGAAGGAAGGGAAGCAAGGAAAGCACGAAGGAAGGAAGGAAGAAAGAGAAGGAAGGAAGGAACGAAGGAAGGAACGAACGAAGGAACGAAGGAAGGAAAGGAAGGAAAGGAATGAAGGAAGGAAGGAAGGAAGGAAGGAAGGGAAGCAAGGAAGGAAGGAAAGCAGGAAGGAAGGAAGGTAGCAAGGAAGGAAGGCAAGAAGGAAGCAAGGAAGGAAGGAAGGGAAGCAAGGAAGGAAAGGAAGGCAAGAAGGAAGGAAGCAAGGACGGAAAGGAAGGAAGGAAGGTAGCAAAGAAGGAAGGAAGGAACGAAGGAGGGAAGCAAGAAAAGCACGAAGGAAGGGAGGAAGAAAGAGAAGGAAGGAACGAACGAAGGAAGGAACGAAGGAAGGAAAGCAGGTAGGAAAGAAGGCAGGAAAAGGAAGGAAGGAAGGAAGGAAGGAAGGAAGGAAGGAAGGAAGGAAGGAAGGAAGGAAGAATAGAATAAGAAAATAAAGGAAATCGCTTCAGACAAAAAAAGAAAGGTGGGGTGAAAGAAAACTAAAATAAAATAAGAGAAAGTATTTCAGAAAATGAAAGAAAGCTCAAAGAAGGAAAAAAAATGAAGGAAAAGCTTTTAAAAAAATGTCGACGAAATGAATGAAGGACGAAAGAGAGGATAGAATAAGATGCAAAAGGAAAATAAATAAAACATATTTTTACAATAAAGAAAGATAAAATGAAAAATAAAAGTAAAATAATGCATATGAAATGAAGAAAGGAAGGACGGAAAGAAAGAAAGAAAGAAAGAAGAAAGAAAGAAAGAAAGAATATTAAAAAAGAAAGGAAATAAACTAAGCTACTTTCCGACAGAGAAAGGTGTAAAAAAATAAAGCATATAAGAAGGGAAAATGGAAGCAGGAACTTCCGGCAGGTTGATCGGTTCAAGAATGTACCGGAAGGATTTATTCTTCATGCGGGGCTCTGTAAAGAGTTTTTCTCCATCCAGTTTTTGAGCACTTTTATTCATTGCTAACACCTTCCACGACGTATTTCTGTCAGTAACGTTTTCTTTAACAAAGTAGCTCGAAACATGATACACCCTCTGCGCGGTAAATGCTCATTGTTTTCTGGCGTTATTTCTTTTTTCTTTCCTACTTACTTTTACTAGGTCGCTTGTTATAGAGTTGCGGTTATCAAGTTAGTATCATTCGGTGGCGTAAAGGACAGCAGCACGGATTGAGGAATCGGAGAGCCGACTTCGAATTCCAGTCGAATCCATTACATTCATTTACGTGCTAATATCCTTGGGAAAGGTATGAATCCTCTTCTCCACCCCAACCATGGCTAAATAGCAGGGAAGACCGGGTTCTATAACCTTGAATGGAAACTGGTCTATCGCAGAAAAAAATGGCAACCTACTGCTAGAAAAAAAATTCTGCCTCGTCAGTCATGTATCGAAAGATACATGATCACCTAAGCATGTATCACGCATGGCAAATAACTGACTGGTCATTCGCTAATATTCGCTGGTCATAAGTTTGAGTATCCCTTCAATTCTGGAAATATGGACGTCCATGCATCGCTTAAATTCACAGGAAAAATGACTTCCGGTAAAGGAATATTAGTCTTTCTGTTCTTTTCTATCTTCTTATGTCGTTATTCAAGCATTTGACATATCCACCTTGTGTTAATTTAAACTGATGCTTTTTGATATTCAATATAACCTATAATTATAAGCTATAATTTTGGAAGGTAGAAATTTCAATGAAATATTTGGGAAAATGTCTAATTTTTCATCTGAAATCAAGAAAATTTTAACTTTAAACAAAATTGCAATATATGGAAAAAAGAGGGGGGGGCAAAATGTCAGTTTAAACTAACGCCAGGAAGATAAGAGTCAAACCGTAGTCTTTTTTTCAACTTATCTAAATTATAAATATAAACTAAAATTTGGAAAATGATAACATATCTTCAATATATTTAAAAATGTCAAAATTTTTCATCTGTAATTAAGGAAATTTGAATTTTAAGTAAAAACGTCTAATATCTATCACCTCTAATCTGGAACCCCACAATGCATGCGAATATGATGGTATCCTTATAATTGTCTCTCTGGCTCTTGTCCTCTCTAAACTGTATAATAAATGGCTTGTTGCCTCTTGTTTTCTTGCTTGTTAGAAATACTCATCTGTTGTTCGTCTTTAAGAAGTCAGATGAACAGTCTGACCCTTTCAACTATTGGTCTGTTATCCTTCTAGCCTTTTTAGGGAAACTACCAGAGGCCTTAATCAACGCTGAATTAGTTAAGCATCTCACATGGCACGGCCTTTCAGAGAAGCAATATGACTTTCTAGGTCAATTGCTGATGTATGAATGGATATTGCGGAAAGAGTTTATCAATCTCTAGAGAATTATGAAGCTCGGGCTTTGGAGATCGACATTTTAAACTGATCCAGTCATTCTTATCAAATCGTGAAATGAAAGTTATCCTGAACGGCTACTCTTTTATATCCTTTTGTACTAATACAGGTGTTCCCCAGGGCTCTATACTAGGTCCTACTTTGTTCTTAATTTATATTAACGACCTACCCGATGGCATCAGCTCTCATCTTAGTATCTATGTTGATGACACAACCATTTACTCATGTCTCGGTTGTGAGTCTGATCCGTTCGTTGAGTTCAAATTGGCGGCTGATCTTCAAAAGAGAACTGATCTCTATTAATCGTCGGAGTGACACCTTTCTGCCTTCCATCAGCATGGCTGATGCTAAGCTCCAAGTAAATGACACGTTGCGTCTTCTCGAACTAATTTTCGTGTGTGACATAAAGTGAAAAGACTATATTGAATCCATTGCTAGGTGTGATACTAAGAAAGTTGGTTTACTCGGCCATGCTAGATAATTTTTCTCTCTAGAATCTATCTTACATATCCATAAGTCTACCATTCGACCGTGCTTCGAATATTGCTGTCACATGTAGTAGAGAGTTTCTATATATTTAGAGATTCTTAATAAAATACAAAGAAGAATCGGCAATATTATTGGTCCTGATCTGGCGTCTCGACTTCAGTCACTTTCGCACCGCTCTTTAATAATATTTCTGTTTTCTAATTATTTAACATCCAGTAACCCCATGTTCCTTAGTGGCTTTACTGTCTTACGTGGGTGAATTTGATTATAAGATAGATAGATAGATAGATAGATAGATAGATAGATAGATAGATAGATAACAGGACATATCTGAAAAGGACAAGTCAAAATAGATTTGTAAGATAGATAGATAGATAGATAGATAGATATGAAAATAACACGACATATCTGAAAAGGACAAGTCAAAATAGATTTGTAAGACAGTAAGAGATAGATAGATAGATAGATAGATAGATAGATAGATAGATAATGAACATTACAGGATAATGTATACTTTAAAGACTCCAGTAACTATCTAAGAAGATAGATATGTGCAACCTAAGATAAAATGATTGTTTTTGCGGGGTAGATTTTATAAGTATTTGATTTAGGTGACTGCTGCAGGAGTTCAAATATTGTGAAGTGTAAACATTCCAGGGTTTGGGGCTACCTGCTTTTTTAATTAACATTATCTAGCTTCAAGACGCGAATGCGTTGTACAAAGGCTTCCTATGTTTTGACCTCCTCATGAATTTTCTTTGCTTAGTGAACAATTCAATCAACAAACAAGTAGTCCAACAGTGGGTATGCCAGTGGTTAATATATTGGTCACCAATTTGTACACTGTGCAATAAATATTTTTCAATAAATATTTTTAAAATGGGCTGTGTCAAAGTTCACCTTTCTAATTCTCTCTCTCTCTCTTAAATCAAGTGGTGGCAGAAGAATTATCATTGAACTTTTAAAAGCTAAGTAAGCGCTGCTACTCACTCAATATATATATATATATATATGTGTGTGTGTGTGTGTGTGTGTGTGTGTGTGTGTGTGTGTGTGTGTGTGTGTGTGTGTGTGTGTGTGTGTGTGTGTGTGTGTGTGTGTGTGTGTGTGTGTGTGTGTGTGTGTGTGTGTGTGTGTGTGTGTGCAGGTATGTAAAAAAATAGGAAAGAACACGTTTGGTAAATAATCCAGGGTTCTTTAGTATTTTTGTTTTTATTTTGAAAAAACAGTGCTCCATACAGAAGTAGAGTTTAGATTATAATTATTTTTAAATATGATTCCTTCGTTAAGAGTTCTCATGTTTCAAAAATGAGTTGAAACCATCAATATAATTATTAAAATTAAAGTAACAATCCCTGTTTCATCCTCAAGCGATAATTTAGAAACACGAAAATTTTCACTTGAGGATGAAACAGGGCTTGTTACTTTAATTCAATTTAATTTAATAAATATATTGATGGTTTCGGCCTCGTTTTTGAAACATGAGAACTCTTATGTAGCGAAGAAATCATATTTTTTAAAAAATAATTATATATATATATATATATATATATATATATATATATATAGAAAGAAAGAACAGTAAGTTATGTAATCCGGTGTTCTTATAGATATTTTTATTTTTACAAAATAGTGCTCAATGTAAATTTACAGAGAATTAATATTATAAAAATGAAAGCTTTAATTTAATTACAAATTAAATTTGAAGCTTTTAGCTTCCATTTTTGAAACATGGTTATAACTGTGTAGCGAAAACATATTTTAAATCAATTAATTTATATATATATATATATATATATATATATATATATATATATATATATATATACTCGAAACGGCCGTCCAGTTCTTTTCTGCATTCTGTTGAGGATTATTCTAGTCTCGACGAATTAGTATATGATCACTTGTATATATTCCATCAATTCAAAATAATTTTATTGAATCTATTTAATAGATTATTCACATTGAAAAAACATTTGTTGTTTCTCACCTCATATATAGGTTGAAATTGCAATTCTCTAATTTTATTCAACATATAGCTTTAATCACAGAGGGTTGTTGAAGATTTCACAGTCTGAGCAATAAATTTGATATTTTGTCGTATTTTAAGAAGGGAGCCGAGTTGCGAACTTTTCAGCATTTCCTTCATAAAACAAATAAAAGTGAGAACTTTACGGGAGAAATTGCTATCCTGTTTTTCTAAGATACATTCCTCGCGCAAAATTATATCGCATGGTCGACTTGGAGCGTGCCGAAACGTTGATAGCCAGAGACTGAGAAAGGGATGCACACATCGATTACACAGGGTCTGACTGACACGGGTGCGAGGCTAAATAAGATTCAGGGGCAGGTGCAACCGAAGTCCGTTGTACGCTTCGTCTAGTTTCAAATCAGATTAGGAAAACATCGATAATCTATTGCCTAAGAATTTTCACGGGCAAAATGACGCGGAAATACTTATCAGTGACGACGCACTTTGCTGGTTTAAATGAAAATTGAGCTTGACATGACAGCATTAAAAAGGTAAAGCAGACAATCGATAAAGGATAAATTACTTTTGTCTGGAATAGTGATTGCATTTATATACATACATACATACATACATACATATATATATATATATATATATATATATATATATATATATATATATATATATATATATGAGGAATCTAAATGAAATAATAATAAAAAAAACGAAAGAATAATAATCTACAACCCAGTGTGTCTGAAGATTTTAATTTTTTAATATTTTTTTATTGTTCAATATATATATATATATATATATATATATATATATATATATATATATATATATATATATATATATATATATTTATATATCAGAAATATGATTTAGAATTTCCTGATAGTTTTCATGTGTAGTATATTTCAGTCAATTTTATCTCTTTCCAATCGATATATTTTGATCACACTATGAGACCACACTTTCTATGAGACCACACTTTCTATGAGACCACACTTTCTATGAGACAATTTTGGTGTCTTGGTGTCCTTGTCCGCTGCAGGATCATATAATTTAATTGAGGTACATTTTGGAAGCAAGAATTCTCTTAAACCTGTTTTGTTAAACGATTATCATTTATTATAAAAAAAAAAACTCAAAACGTTCAATCTAATTCCGAGAAATAAGTTATCATCTCAAAATCTAACCTGTCAAAATAATTTGGTTCATGAATTCTTATGGAGAGTGCAACTTCAACACGAACAATCAACCAACATGATTAAATTCTTACATTGGCCAAACATATACCCCACTCTCTCGCAGTTGTCATTTGTCAAATTTTAGTGCAATTAGTGCGCATATAGATGAACATATGACAAACAGACAAAATAATATTAACATTAGACAGGTTTTGTTGACAACAGGTAAAAAAGAACAAGATGGGGAAGAGAAGAAAAGCAAGTGTATTGTAAATGCATTTTTTTTATCCAGCCTCATATGAAACTTAAGACAAATTTTCTGATATGTAAACACGGACTTGAGACTTCGAATTTTTGTTTAAAAGTTATTTTTTGGTTTTGTTTTTTGTTGGTTTTTTTTTATTATTATTTTATTTTAAACCAGAAATACGAAGTTTTAAGTCCTTCCTTACACATTAAAACAATTTTCTTACGAACATATCAGGCTGGATTAAAAAAAAATTACCCCCCCCCCCTTACAACGCACTTGCTTTTCTTCGCTTCCCCCTTTTTCTTCCTTCTTTACATCCACCCCCTCCTATTACACTCAACGTCGTGCGTTTGTTTATTTATTTTTGAAAAAAATAATTTAGCGTTCTTCAATTTAAAAAAAATAAAACTAAAAAAGCGTCAGGTGATCATTTGATAAAAATCCCCTGTGATACCGTAAGGGTTCAAACCAAGGTTAGCGGATTCAACTAACCTCCTTAAAGTATATATATATATATATGTGTGTGTGTGTGAGTGAGAGAGAGAGAAATTATTAGGAGGATTTGAGATAATCATAATTAAGTAATTCATTGAGTCTAGAAGAAACCTCAACAGAATGCAGAAAACACTGGACGGATGTTTCGTCCTATATTTGGGACTCATCGGCAGTGTGCATCCACTACCGAGAATTGAAACCCGAACAGTTACGATATCAGGCAAACGTCAAAGGTGTTTGAAGAGCCATTCATTTTTAAGTCAGTAAAATTAATATCTAACGACCCAGAGATTGAAAATCTTATAAAAGTTTTATTTCCTATCAGGAGGCACATGTTCACCAATATTTCTGTCTCTACGCTAGTGTATATTAAATTCACCGATTAAATATACGTTGTCTACTCAAACGCCTGAATCCAATAAATATAGCGCTTATAGAAGCATTATTTATATACATACATACATACATACATACATACATATATATATATATATATATATATATATATATATATAAATTACAATAAAAAATATTTACATCACTACACAAAAACTTTCATGTTTCAGTACTAAGATGGTACTTCTTCAGGCGATGGTAGATAACTAATGATCTAGTTTTTTTTGTAATTTATTAATATAATAATATTTGGTCTACATTGTATTGAACACATTCTTTTCAAAATTGAATGCTACGAACTGTGGATTTTTACTCCATCTGTCCTTTCTCTCATCTGTATGCATATATATATATATATATATATATATATATATATATATATATATATATATATATAATTTTATATATGCAGTACTTAGTGGAAAGCGCTCATTGTCAGTGATAGAGCTAACATATTCAGTTGTAAGGATATGAGACAATATATATATATATATGTGTGTGTGTGTGCGGAAAAAACTGTGACAAAGTCAAAATTTTTTCCTGTCACGTGTTACGTACTTTAGAACTCATCGTACTAAAAATTTACGTCGAGACGACTGCACATGCGTTGAGAATTTAAAATTTTTGTTTTGAGGATATAAATCCAGCCGATAACGTTTAGTTTTTTACGGTTTTTTTTTTTTGTTTCTTTGTTATTTTTTGTTTGTTTTGTTTTTTCATGTTTTCATCAGTTTTCTTTATTAACCATCCCCCATTATGATAATAAAATAACCTTACTAAAGTTAAGCAACTCCGAGCTTGGTCAGTACCCAGATGGGTGACAGCTTTGGCATACCAGGTGCTGTAAATTTGAGTGTGCGAGTGGTGTAACTGATAATAGCTTAGAATTGTCAATCGGAGTTCCAATTCTAGTTGGGTCCGTTATATTTACTTACGCACAAATGCCCTTGGGAATGGTATGAATCCATCTCTTCCCTCCCACCAGCTATGGGTTAATTAGTAAGACCTATATCACTAAATCATTATCATGTCCAAAAAAGAAATTCTTACAATCTAAAGATATTTTAGGGCTTTAAATAACCTACAAAGTGTTAATAAAGATAAGCTGTAGAAAACGAATCAATTAGTCGGGAATTTTTTTTTTGGTGGGGGGGTGTTCACTATGATGCCATTGGTTGGTTTTAAAGTTCGGATTAAAGCCATCGTTTTGAAAGCTGGGTAATCATTGTTTCATTGGGAGAATAATACTAAAGAATTTAACACTGAATTAGATCCATTTTCAGCTAAAACGATATTTAGATATTTTTTTTAATTCTATAGAAGATCATGAGGCTTCACTGATTCATTACCTGTCAATTGCCATGCATTCTTAAGAAAGATAGTGGAAAGTAGTATTTTGTTGTCTTCTGAAAGCTTTGCTATACAGACCTTACCTTTTTCTTAGACTGGTTGCCACCTAAAAATAAAGAGTCTGATATAAAGAGACTAAGAGTCTTATATATTTAACCCATAGCTGGAGAGAAAAGGGATGAATTGAAGTCTCTTGCAACAGACTAACACAGTTTTGGATTTCGGTTCACCCATTCCGCCTTCTCCACCGATACATTTCCCGGACATCTTTCAATATCTACGTAGGTTGTCTGAATTTAACGACTAGCCAACGTTCTAATAATGAGCAAAACCAGTATAGTTTATTCACGAAGATACATTCACATTGAAGCAAATAATTCGATTTCTTTCTTTTCTTCCTTTCCCCTTTGGTGAAGAATGGTGAGTATGACCAAGAAAATCAGCAGTCCAGTTTCGACCTACATTCAAATGCTGACATCAACCATTGTTCCCGCTGCTTCTCCAGTGACACAGTGAGAAGTAAAATGTATTTTTGTTGGTCTTGCTTGGTGATTCGCTGTCGTCCGCGTATCAATTGATGAAGTCGACAATAGGCTTTTTCAAGATCTAATTTCTCTCTATTATTACAGGAGGACAATAGCGGTTCATTGACGGCTCAAAATGATACCACTTTCTGTACTCGCATCCCGAACTACACCCAAACCACTTCTGGGTTCGTCGAAATGTCAAGACGTGAGAAAGGAAATTATAGCTTTATCGACCGCAAAATTTGGAGCAAATAGCATACTAATTCCGATCTAATCAAACACTGATTGATTATCGAACGGTTCTTTTTTTAAAATTTCATACGTGACAAAAAGGACAATGACAGAGCGTCAAGTCTGCGATCAATACAAGTGCTTATTTCGGTATAATATTTACCATTTGCATTGAATATAACATATTTTAGGTAAAAAATAAGAGTAGACAGATTCACGTAATGTCCGGTTCACACTCCTCACCGGTCTTTTGAATAGAAGCAGAGATTTGTCTCTTGTTTCCTTTTCAGGTTTGAGTTTCAGGTTCTAAATCAAACATCATCTCTATACTTCTAAAGTCTCTGCCTAAAACCTGAAATTTTTAATATCTATTTTTTTTTCCAAAACAGGGGTATATAGGTTCTCCTATCGTCCGGTTTACACTACTCTCCGGCTTTTTGAACAGAGGTAAAGGTTTCTCCATTTTTTTCCTTTTTACGATTGCTTCTCAATTCTACTTCAGCGCCATAATTCTAACGTCTCTACCTAAACTCTGTAATTCATACAATTATTGGGTTTCCGGTTCCCTCGAAAGTCTTTGCCTTCTCTTTCACTTCCAGCAGCCTCCCTTGCGTCTTAATGACGTTATTGCCTTGCGTTAGGTGAATTGATTAAAAAAATACTATAAAATGAAGAACGTTATTCCTATGGTTATTTCCATTACTTTCAGAAATGTACCATTTTTCTTTATAAGAGTGTATCTTTTTGATCTGATATTAAGATAATAAATTACAAGCGGATATAAATACATCAAATCTACTACTAAAGTTGCTACCTTTTGTCGAATTAGCTAGCGACCGACACAGTTTGAATCATCTGTCTTTTCATTTTCGGCACGTGTAATTTAGGGCACCTACCGAAGAAAAATCTTTAAGAAGCAGATCCGAAGAAATTCTTTGATTCTCACTGGTTCATCATTACTATGGACTTGTGCCAGACTAAACTACTCTTAGTTAAAAAAAAAAAAAGTAATGTAGGGGGTTTATCTGTCTATATTTCTGAGATTATTATGTACACTATTTACATGATTCGGACTATTGTCCTCATCTTTGTCGCCATATTT